AGTTTTTAAGCACAATCCAAGCCATGTTCCTCTCATCTCTCCTAGCCATGTAGTTCCCACCTAAAGAGGCACCAATATGACTCATATATGAACATTTAGGAAAAACCAAACCAAAGCAAACAGCTGAGCATGGTGGTGCACACGTTTAATCTCAGGAGGCAAAGGCAGGTGGATCTCTCTGAGACGGAGTCCATCCTGGTCTCAGTAGTGAGTTCCAGGTCAGCTGGGGCTTCAGGGAGACCCTGTCTCAAAAAGACCAAAAAAAAAAGAATGTTTAAAGGAGGGACTGGAGAAATGGCTCAGCGGTTAAGAGCACTGGCTGCTCTTGGAGAGGACTCGGATTCAGTTCCCAGCACCCACACGTTGGCTAACAACCATCCGTAACTCCAGTTCCAGGGGATCCAATGCCCTTTTCTGACTTCTCGGGCATTACACGACAGGAGTGTGCTTACATACAGGCAATGCACTTATACACATAAAATAAAAATAATAAATAAAATATTTAACAAATGTTCTAAGGAAACAATTGTACATATCTTATAGAGTTTTAGAGTATAGCTAGCATAAGCAGTTAGATTTGGTACTTCAAATCAGTCCATTTGTTAGTTACTGTATTTCTCTCAAGTACAGTGTAGCACAGGGGCTTCTCTGGTACTGTACAGATTATGGAAGTTGTCATATAGGTGCTTAGTGACCAGTCCTTGGAGAGCTGCCAGACGACTGGAATTCTTACCATTTTAATCCACTGCTGGGCTCTCTGCAGCTCTGGCTTGGGGTCTAGGCACCTGTGGGTTACCTCTCTGCACTGCCTCTCAGTGCCCACCAGGCCACCTTTGTTTGTTTATTTTGTTTAATTTTTTATAATTATTTACGTGTATTAATGTTTTGCCCACATGTATATGTAAGTGCTAAGACCTGAACCCAGGTCTTCTCCAAGGGCAGCCAGTGCTGTTACTGCTGAGCCATCTCTCTAGCTCCTCCTTTGTTTTTTGAGACAGTTCCACAGCCAGGTCAGACTGGCCTCAAACTGGGAGAGAACTGAATACTTCTGCGTCCTGAGTGCTATAATTAAAGTGCTGGCCCTTTGCCTTTGTTCCTGCAGTGGGACCCGGCAGTTGTAGAGTTGGGAATCATCTTAGTCCATTCAGAACAAACTCATTTCTCAACTGGTAAGTTTGCCACTGTTGGCTCTATAAAGTGAGTAGAGTTTGTGGAAGCTCTGCAGATAGGGGGGCTGTTAGGGTCTGGATTCCATCCTTTTTCTCATCCTCTTCCTTATGGATATCTTGGAGACTGTCCCTCAGAGTTGTGATCTGTAATCCTGGCAGGAGCTCTGTCTCACTGCTCTGCCCTGTTCTGCAGCGTGTTTATCTACACCCTTGATTAGCTGTCCGTGTCCTGGCTGTAGGGATGTTTTGGCCAGTGCCCATGGATTTCGTGGATATTAAAGTGAGGATTACTTTCTGGGTAGAGGTGTTAGTGGTTAACATGTTTTTTGAATGTTCTCTAATCTTTCATTCATTATCCTAGATAATTCTCTTGACCATCTAGTGGAGGACATGACAGTGTGGGGACATTGGTCATGGTCAGCATCACTCTGCGTTCAGCCATGTCTGCAACCTTCACTGGAGATCAGCTACTTCCATGTGCTTTTCTCCTTTTTAACAACACGAGACTCTGTGGTCTCCACGCCCTTCTCTCTGCAGTGCATCCCAAAGATTTTCCTTATTGCATTTGCCTTATTTGCTTTGTGTGTTTGGCAAGAGTAGGGGGCATGTGTACCATGGCTTGTACCTGGAATCAGAAAACAGCCTTTGGGGGTCAGTTCTTTCATTCATGGGGATTGAGCTCAGGTCACAGAGTCAAGTGGCAAACACCTTACCCATTGAGCCATCTCAGCAGTCCCAGACGAGGCAGGTCTCCCTGTAGCCCCAGCTGGTCTGGAACTTACTATGTAGATCTGGCTGGCCTCAATCTCTCACAGAGATCCACCTGCCTCTGCCTCTCGAGTGCTGGCCAGAAGATATTCTTTATGGACATCTGTGTAGACATTTCCCGTGTAGCATTCCTGTCTATGAAAATGTGCTTCTTAAATAGGTGGCCATGGCCAAAGCTGTGTTGCAGTGATTATCTTACTGGAGAAGTTCTGTGGTTGTAAGGCAGAACTATCCCATTATCTGTGGGACAGATGTAGAGGGGGTGGGCAGCTTTGGGTCTGCCACATGGCTCATGCTTACCATGTAGTGAGTGGGCTCACAGTACCCTACTTCCTGATACCAGCAAACCTGAAGGAATGCTTTAGATAGAGCCTTTCCTCTGCAGAACCTGACAGCGTTGACTTCCCGGCTGTTGTCATTGCTGGTCTTGTGGGTAGTCTTCCTGCCTGCCTGCTGTCTTGTCCTTTTGTTTCTTTCGCTGTTTGTTTGCTACTAAGTGCTTTTCTTAAATTAGTCCGCCCCACTTTCTCCCATGGCCTTCGGGTTCTTCCCTACCTCCGCCCTTTGCTCTCGTGTGTTCCTGTGGCCTCAGCTCTGCTCTTAGAGCTGCCACCATCTCATGCCCACGTCCTGGTGCTGCTGCTGCTGCTGCTTTTGCTCCTTCCGCTCTTACTAAGGCTCAGTCCTGCATTTCTTGACAGACTCCAAGATGCTAGACATGGGCTACCTCCCTCACTATAAACTATTTCCTCTAGTGTTTACAACTCTCTTAATTTCTAGCAACCATAGAAGTATTGTTTCATGGTGTCAGGCTGACAAATGTGGGCTTTCCTGTTTGTGCTGTCTTTCAGTCATGTTCTCAGATTTTTGCTTTGTTGTTCGTTAACAAGGAGTCTCAATTCAGACTGTACCCTTTGGAGTTAGTCCTTTTCCGCATACGCTTAGTGGTCTCTGTGGTCACCTCTGTCGCGATAGATGTCATTCTCTTGGAGATCATCTGTGAAACTGAAGTAGACATTCTTGTTCTACCTTCACAATTTACTTACCTCCTGGGCTCCTTCCAACCTTCTTCCCAATTAATAGGGACGTGTACTTGAGAACCCTCGGAAGAGGACTTCACTTTTAGTTTGATTAGGTTATTTCCAGCAATGGCACTTTCCTTTTTCTCTGTCCAGAGAATACTGGCATTTTGTTTTCTTTCAGACTGGGAGACAAGACCTGAAAACCATGTGTCACACCCACAACTGGGCATTTCTGAAGTGAATCTGTCATCAGAGACAGTAGACAGACACAAAAGGAATGAGTCCTGGAGCTCCAATGCTTTGGAAACTTGGAAACCTGAAGGCGGTTTAGAGCAATTTCAGGCAAACCAACAGAGACCGCCAAGGGAAATAAAAATAACTGAGAACACAGCACCCACTTGTGAAAGCAGCATCAGTTTGAGTTCAAGCTTGGTAGCACAGCAGGTAGCACCCCCACAGCATGCTTCCTCCGGGACAGGTGCCAGACAGAATGCCCGCCCGGTTAAAAAGGAGAAGCTGTGCAAGTGCAGTGAGTGTGGTAAGGCTTTCACTTACTGCTCTGCCCTCATTCGCCATCAGAGAACACATACTGGAGAAAAACCCTACAAGTGTAATGAGTGTAACAAAGCTTTCAGCCGAAGTGAAAACCTTATAAACCATCAGAGAATCCATACAGGAGATAAACCATACAAATGTGATCAGTGTGGAAAGGGTTTCATTGAGGGCCCATCTCTCACTCAGCATCAAAGAATTCACACTGGAGAAAAGCCCTACAAATGTGATGAATGTGGGAAAGCCTTCAGTCAGAGGACCCATCTTGTTCAGCACCAGAGAATCCACACTGGTGAGAAACCATACACTTGTAATGACTGTGGAAAGTCCTTCAGCCAGAGAGGTCACTTTATGGAACATCAGAAAATTCATACAGGAGAAAAACCTTTCAAATGTGATGAATGTGAAAAAACCTTCACCAGGAGCACACACCTTACTCAGCATCAAAAAATTCATACTGGAGAGAAAACCTATAAGTGTAACGAGTGTGGGAAGGCCTTCAATGGGCCCTCAACGTTTATTCGTCACCACATGATTCATACTGGAGAAAAACCATATGAATGTAATGAATGTGGAAAAGCTTTCAGTCAGCACTCAAACCTCACTCAACATCAAAAAACGCACACTGGGGAGAAACCTTACGATTGTGCAGAATGTGGAAAATCATTTAGTTACTGGTCATCCCTTGCTCAACATCTGAAAATTCACACGGGAGAAAAGCCCTACAAGTGCAGTGAGTGTGGAAAGGCCTTCAGTTACTGCTCATCCCTTACTCAGCATCGGAGAATCCACACACGAGAAAAACCCTTTGAGTGCAGTGAGTGTGGAAAGGCCTTCAGTTACTTGTCAAATCTTAATCAGCACCAGAAAACTCACACCCAGGAAAAAGCTTATGACTGTAAGGAATGTGGGAAAGCTTTTATTCGGAGTTCATCGCTTGCTAAGCATGAAAGAATCCATACTGGAGAGAAGCCTTACCAGTGCCATGAGTGTGGGAAAACCTTCAGCTATGGCTCATCCCTGATTCAGCATAAGAAAATCCACACTGGAGAAAGGCCATACAAGTGTAACGAATGTGGGAGAGCCTTCAACCAGAAAGTACACCTTACACAACACAAGAGGATTCATACGGGAGCAAAGCCCTACGTGTGTCTCCAATGTGGGAAGGCCTTTCGACACGGTTCATCTCTTGCCCAGCATCAAAAAACTCACACAGAAGAAAAACCGTATCAGTGTAGTAAATGTGAGAAAACATTTAGCCAGAGCTCTCATCTGACCCAGCATCAGCGCATCCACACAGGCGAAAAGCCCTATAAGTGCAATGAATGTGACAAATCCTTCAGCCGGAACACGCACCTAACTGAGCACCAGAGCACTCATGCTGGAGAGAAACCTTACAACTGCAGTGAGTGCCCGAGGACTTTCAGCCAGAGTGCATACCTTATTCAGCACCAGAGGATTCATTCAGGAGAGAAGCCTTTTGGGTGTGATGACTGTGGAAAAGCCTTCAGGTATCGCTCTGCTCTTACCAAACACCAGAGACTGCACCCTGGTACTGCTCCTCTGGGAACATTGTAACTGTAGCCCCTGTGTTCATTTTGGCTTGTACTGACAGAGTGGGGGGAGGAACTGTTTAAAGTATCTTAAACTTTTCCTATGGCACTGTAATCGAGAGGCCATTGGCCGAACTAATCCAAGTATGTTCTTAAACAACTTTGTGACATTTTAAGTTTCCTCTGAAAGATTTGGAATAGATGATTTGAAGATAGCTTGGAGTTTTATACTCAGTTTTGTATATTTACAGCATATTCTTAAATAGTTTATACATCCACACTTTGCGTTGAATCTTCATGTGTGTTTATGCATGTTTTGCTAGTAGAGGGAACTTTTGTGCTTCAGTGATTAGGGATCTGTTGTGCTCCTGCTCTGATGCACTTATGTTCAGGTAACTGGTCTCTAATAAAAAAAATTATAACCTCAAATTCAATTGCATATAAAGCTGAATTCCAGTGACTATTAAAACTTAGTAGCAAGTTCATTGTTGTGTACCCTCCCAGCTACTCAGGAGGCTGAGGTGAGGGTGTCCCTTGAGCCTAGGAGTTCTAGACCAGGCTGGATGACATAGTGAATCTTTGTCTCAAAAAGTGATTCATATTTCCCCTCCTAGTTTATTTCTTTAAGCATTATTTTCAACTACAGAGGTCTGCTCTTACAGCACATACTAATGTTATTTAACCCTGGTTGCACTTGGTGCCTTAGTTTGGGTTCAGTAACACATAAACTAGAAACATTTTAAACAACAGAACTTTCTCACCATTGTTCAACATCAAGCCACTGGTAGAGCTGGTATCTGGAGAGGGCCAGCGCCTCATTACACTTAGCTGTTTTCTTACCTGGCAGAAAGCAGAGGAAAAGCATGCTGTTCAGTATAAAGGCCCTAATCCTGTTCTTGAGAGTGTCACCCTTGGACCTGCCAGACCCTCATTCCCAGTACCATCATATGGGGCAGTGAGTTTCTAACTTGGGAATTTAGAGAGACACATTCAGTCCCTAATACCTGAGGAATGCCACAAAATTCTGGTGCCAACGTAGCACTTGAGATTCATTTAATTGGCCCAGGGTTTGGGACTGAGTTTTTTAGCTTTTAATGTGTACTCTAGGAAGAAAAGTTGGCTTAGACATTAGTGCCCACTCCTTTATTTAGTTGTTGCTCCTTGTGGCTCTTCACAAATGACTTGTTGAGTACACATGATGTAGCTTTGAGTGTCATCCTGTCTGCAAAGCATATTCTCAGGAGCTCTGGGAGGTAGGTTAGTTTGCTTCTTCACCAAAGTGCAAAAGCTCAGCCACAGTGTAAAGTCATCTCACTTTTCCATGGTCTCTTTGTATCAGAAACAAGTAACAGTGTTCTGTGCAGTCCAGAGAACAATGTACGATAGCCATGCTGTTCATGTTTTGTTTTTGTTTTTTTTTCAGTTGTGAATGGGTGCATTTATAGCAAGTAGCAGAGAAAAGCTCAGATAGAAAGTATAACATCAAACAGAGGCTCACCATATATCAGACAACTGGAGTAGCCTGATTGAGGGAACAAGCAAGCTGACATCAAATTGAGTGCTTACGATCATCCAGCAGAAATCATCTGGGAAAACCTGATTGAGGCAGGCACCTGAAGTTCCAGATCAAGAGAGCCCTGGGCAGAGCAGAGTAGTCCCCTCAGGTGAGGCTTCCAAGTAAGAACAAAGAGCACCCAGCGGGTAGAGGAAGACCTGCTCTGCTGAGCAGTCATGCTGCAGTCCTGATGGAGAACAGAGGCAGAGCAGAGCATTCTCTGCACACAGGAGTTTCCCAAGGCGGAACTTCCAGGTTCCTGTTCCACTGCAGGCCTTTTTATATTATGGGTTAAACAATAATATCTACTGGAAATGGTTTTCTTTTAGCTGTTTTTGAGGACACAATGTTTTTACTCTTGTGCTGTTTTACTGCTGTTTCCTCCCTTCTGCAGTTAGGGGGCCAGCCTGCCCCAGGAAAAGGTGTTTTGAAGAACATTTTGGAGAACACTTGAAATAATAAATAGTTCAGGATAAGAGAGCTCCTTCCTTGCTCCCAGAATCTGCTTTTCAAACAAGCTTAAACAGTACATGACAATTTATCAATATAATGTATATTACCAATGTACATGACAAAGAGACCTGACCCACAATCTGCATGACCATTTGTTGTGACCCTGCTCAGGAATATGAGGTTAGTCAAAAAATGATGAATCTCATTTTCTCCAGCTGTCTCGAATTCTTTATCAGGCCAGCTCTTTTAAAAGCAAGTGATAGTTTCTCAGCCTGGCCTTAAGTATATGGAGAACTCTGAGAAGAAAGGCTTGCGCCGAAAGTGACCATCATTTACATGAGAAGATTTTGTTCTTAGACTTCCTGCCAGTGAATTTGAGGAAGGAAGCACTGTTCCTTTTTAAAAGTGAGAAAAGGCAATACAGTCCACTAAGTGAATGGGACCCGCATTGGAGTGTTGTCACTCCTTTAGCTGAAGTTGCCAGATAGTGAATGGGATTTAGGGAACATCAGGACCTTTTCCTGTTGTAATTTGAAGAAGCTAATAAAGGCATGTCACCTTGATAGTTCTGGCTTGTTTGGATGAGTCCATGAACAGAGATAGGAAAATTTAGAAATATCAAGCTATAAGCTCCCTTGACCTCTGAGCTACCTCCACAGTATAACATGAAGTGTTGGTACCTAGGTGAAGATCCTCCTGCATCAAAGGAGATTCCCCAAATAGAAAACACTAGTCTGATGGGAAGCTGTGTGCTCATTCCTCCTGGGACTGTAGGTCTGGGGGTTGGGAAGGTAATATTCTTAAGTAATTTAATTTTTTAATATATAATTATAAATTATATAAAAGGAATGTAAGAATGCTGTTGGAGGACTGGAGAGATGGCTCAGTGGTTAAGAACACTGTCTGCTCTTGCAGAGGACCCAGGTTCAATTCCCAGCACCTACATGGTGGCTAACAACCATCTGTAACTCCAGTTTGATGGGATCTGATGCCCTCTTCTGACCCCTGAGGGCATTACATGACATGGATGCACTTACATTCATGCAGATGATACGCACATAAAATAAAAATATCTTTTAAATAATGCTGTTAATTTGTGGGAAATCTAAATTTGCATAGGACTTTTATCTCTTTGTGGATACTGTCAGATCAAACTCAGCACCTAGACTTTTAAGCAAGGTGTGAGGGTACACCCCCCTGAAATCCCAACAGTCAGGAGGCTGAGGCAGGATTGCCACCAGTTCTAGGCAACTCTGAGCTGTATAGTTCAAAGTAAGCTTGAGGCTGCACAGAGAAATCTTTTCTCCAAAAAAAGGACTCTGGTTTGATTTCTCATGCTTTGCAAATATCTTTACCACCCCCAAACCTTTCAAGGCTGGAGAAGAGATGAGCAGTCAGATTCCAAATGGTAGCATCATCCTGGTTCCTGTCTCCTGAGTACTTTAAAGACATCTCTGTCAGCAGTGTCAGTCTGTCCCCCATTCCCACAGCAGGTGGCTTTGCAGTAGCCACCCTGGGGATGTAACACAGCACTGGTTTCGTAGTGCTGCTGTTCGTATGGAGAGAGTAAAGCAGAGTTCAAGGCAGAGAAAGTGGGAAGGGTGAGATTGTAGCTTTTTCCTTGAAGTTGGAATTAATCTAGAAAGCTAGCACAGGGATCAGTTTACCTTAGAGATTTAATATCTATTCACAGACTGCCCCCAAATAAAATGATATCAGGAGTTAAAGCCAACTGCTTCTGGGCAAGGAATTTCTATTACTTACAAACATTTCTAATGTCTTCATGTAGAATATTTTAAGCTGAGTATTTATTTTATTTTTTGGTCTTTTTGAGACAGGGACTCCTGTAGCCCCAGCTGGCCTGGAACTGGAACTCACTATATAGATAAGGCTGGCCTTAAACTCACAGAGATCCACCTGCCTCTGCCTCCCAAGTGCTGGGACTAAAGGCGTGCGCCACCACGCCTGGCCTTATTATTTTAAAACTTTTTTGACTTTTTTATTTTAGGTATATGTTTTATGCCTGTATGTAAGTGTCTCAGAGTTCTGAGACAGGAGTATCTTTGGCAGTTTTAGGAACACCAGTGAAGTGCAGTGAGTGCGGTCAGAGACCTTGGAGAGCTTCCTGCAGGGCTGCCTTAGTGGTTAGAGGTTGTGCCTTACTCAGACTGAAATGGGAAGTGACTGGAGGGTATTGAGCAGGGAGATAGCATATTTGTGTTGCCTTGAAAGGCTTCACTAGTTGGGGTAAGAGTGCGGTTGGGATGCTGCTGCAGTGATCCATGTACCAGTAGTGTTAAGAGAAAGGTGCTAGTGGTACTAGGAGTGACTGGATTAAGGCTGTCCTGAGCACATGAGGAGGTTGGCTGATGGCTTAGATGTGAATGTGAGACAGAAGCCTGGCTTTACTGACTCAGGTGAGCAGCCTGAAGAGAGGCGCTGAGATGGAGAAGGCCAAGGAGGGGGCAGTTCCACAGATGGGCTGAGGAAGTTTTAGAGCTTTGATTTAAAAACATAACAGGAATTGAAATGTGCATAGTGAACACCTGTAAAACTGCTGTCCGGTTCCAGAAATGGAGCAGTGTCAGCATTCTGTGACCACACCTTCCTGTCTTCCTCACAGGTTAAAGCCTCTCCTCCCCGAAGATAACCACAGCCCTGAATGTAATAGCATAGGTTCGCTGGAACTTTGTATGTTCTTAATCTTTGCTCATCCCATATTGCTTTTGTGCCTTGCATTTTGCACTTTGTAAGAGTCATCGTCATTACAGATAGCTGGGTCAGTGGCTTTGTGTGTATGGAATGTTTTGTCTCAGGAATTAGCACAGGTTTCTATCACTGACCGAGTTTCCAGTCTGAGTCTAAGAACAATGCCACGGAGCACATTCTTGTGTCTCTGGTGTACATGTTCTTTCGTCTCTGTTGGATGTATACCTAGGAGAGAAACTACTGGGCCACAGCAGCATACGTATGTTCAGCTTTAATAGACATTGCCAAAGATTTGCCCCAATTTATATTCCCAGCACCCATGAGAACCTTTGTTGCTCCAGATTTTTGCCAACATTTCCATTGTGCTTTAAACACCACATCTGGGCAGAGTGTCTTAGAGCCCTGTGGAGCACTCAGTGTCTCCCAGAGAGGCTGTTGGAGATAGGGTCTGTAGTGTGAAGTCCACTTAGAGCTTCTACAGTGTGTACTGAAAGCTTGCGCTGTGTGTAACCACCTGGAGGAGAGTCTAGGTGTCGAAATCCTGAGGGGCGAGCCCCTGGGAAAGTCATCTTAGATGACAGAACAGTGATTCAAGTGCAAGGTGAGCAGCATGTGAGACAGGAAGGTGATTGACTGTAGTATCCTGGAGCTGGTTGGGAAAAGTTTCTGGATGAGAAGGTGACTAGCTACAGCTAATACTTAGAGGCTGCACGAGGTGAGGGCAGAGTCGACTACTGATTAGTCAGGGTAGAGATGAGTGATTTTTACAACTGGCTGGATGGTGGATCTAAGCCCTGACTGGACGGGGTTAGCTTCAGAATAGGAAATAAGCAATTGGAGAAAGCATTTTTGTTTGAGG